CCCCTCCAGAGAATATGCATAGTTTGAAGCTAAACAGGCTGAACCCTGGTGACAGTCACTTTAGAGAAATCAACTCTTCCAGGGACCAGATTCAGTGTTGAGGGGAACATCCAGATGTTTTCCTTTAAAGGCAGTGTCAGTCATACTCTTAATTTTTTGCAAGAGTTTTATAAAGACATAATACAATACTATTTATGTAAAGTGTACAGTTAAAAAGTATTTTATATATCCACAGAATTGTGCAGCTATCCCCACAATAAATTTTATTTTATTTTTTATTTTTATTTTTAAAAATATATTTTATTGATTTTCCACATGGAAGAAGGAAGAGATATAGAGAGCTAGAAACGTCGATGAGAGAGAAACATCAACCAGCTGCCTCCTGCACACCCCCCTGCTGGGGATTGTGCCCACAACCAATGTACATGCCCTTGACTGGAATCGAACCTGGGACTCTATCTACTGAGTCAAAAACAGTTTTGGCTAAATTTTTTTTTTTAAATTTCATTTATTTATTAGATTGATTGGGGTGACTTTAGTCAACATGAAGCCATAATAATTTTTAGAACATTTTCATTAGTCCCTGAAGAAACCCTGTGCCCTTTAGCCATTACCTCCCCTGCCTCAGGAACCATTCTCTCCCAGCTCTAGGAAAACACTGCTTTACTTTTTTGTTTCTCTAGATTTATCTTAACATTTACCTCATATAAAGTGAAACATAGAATATGTAATCCTTCATTACTGGCTTTTTTCTCTTATGAAAATTGTTTCAGAGGTCATCCATGCTGTAGCATGTATTAGTATTTCATTTATTTCTTATTCCCAAATAATATTCCATTGTATACATATACCATATTTTTTTTCATTTATCAAATGATATACATTTGTATTCTTTGCTTTTATGAACATTTGTGTACAAGTTTTCGGGTAGACATTTGTTTTCATTTTTCTTATACATATATGAGAGGAATTGCTGGTAAATATGAAAAATTTATGTTTAACTTTTGATGAACTATAAGGCTGTTTCCCAAAGCAGTTGCACCATTTTACATTCCACCAGCAATGTATGAGGGTTCTAATTTCTATAGCGCCTCACTGACACTTGTTAACTTTTTGATTGTAGCCATCCTACTGGTTGCAAATTGGTGTCACATTATGCTTTTGATTGGCGTATTAATGATGACTAATGATGTTGAGCATCTTTTTATCTGTTTACTGGAGGCTCAGTGTACGAAATTTGTGCATGAGGGGGGGGATGTGTCCCTCAGCCCAGCCTGCACCCTCTCTAATCTGGTACCCCTCGAAGGATGTTCGACGGCCTGTTTACAGGGATTGGGCCATAGAGGTGTGGCCAGCCTGGGTGAGGGGCTGATGGCTGTTTGCAGGATGGCCACATCCCTCAGCAACCCAAGCTTCCAGCCCCTCTTTTTTTTATTTTCCTTTTATTTTTTTTCAGTGCCTCCTTAAGCAGAAGCAAGGGCAAGCTGGAAGCAGGTATCTGGGGTTTATTTGTCTTATATAATTGAAACTTTGTAGCCTTGAGTGAAGGCCAGGGCCTGCCAGGGCAGACAGGAAGCTTGGCTTCCTCTATCACTGGGGGCAACCCAAGCCTCCTGCTTGCTGCAGCTCCATGGCCACAGCCATCTTTATTGGGTTAATTTGCATACTTGCTCCTGATTGGCTGGTGGGTGTAGCAGAGTGATGCTCAATTTGCATGTTTCTCTTTTATTAGATAGAATTGTGCATTTGTGTGTATTGTTATAGAAATGTCTATTCAGATCCTTTCAATTAGGTTGTCTTTATTATTGAGCTGTAAGCATTCTCTCTATATTTTAGGTAAAATTCCTTATCAGATATGGTATTTGCAAATATATTCTCCCAATTTTGTGGGGTTTTCTCATTCTTGATGCTGTCCTTTAAAGCACAAAAGATTTTAATTATGATAATTGTTAATTTAATTTAATTTTATTGTTATTATTTATTTATTTATTTATTTATTTTGCCTGTTTTGGTGAAATATCACAGGATATGCCAGGTCCATTCATGAAAATTTACACCTATATTTCTCCTATTAGTTTTATAGTTATAGCTCTTATGTTTAGGTGCAGCACCCATTTTGTATATGGTATGAGGTAAGGGTCAAAATTTGTTCTTTTACATGTGGATATCATGTGGTTACAGCATTATTTATTTATTTATTTTTACAAGATATATTGTTTGCCCATTGAGTTGTGTTAGCACACTTGTTGAAAATCAATTGACATTAAATGTGATTTCTCCCCCTTGGATTCTCAAATTTAGGTTGTTCTATACATCAATTCTTATATCTTGATTACTATGGCTTCCTAGTAAGTTTTTATATTGGGAAATATGAGTATTCTAATTTTCTTTCAAGATTGCTGTGGCTATTGTGAGTCCCTTGCATTTCAATATGAATTTTAGGATAAGCTTGTCAGTTTATGCAATGATATCACCTGAGATTTTGATAGCAATTCTGTTGAAACTGTAGATCAACCTAAGGAATATTGTCATCCTTACAATATTGCTTTTTAATATTAAAAATTTAGATGTCTTTCACTTATTTAGATCTTTTAAAATTTCTCTTAACAATATTTTGTAGTTTTCAGAGTATAAGTTTTGTACTTTTTAATAAATTTATTTATAAGTATTTATTCTTTTTGATGCCATTATCAATGCACTGTTTTTAAAATTTTATTTTCAGAATTTCAGTTATTTGTGGTGTATAAAAATGTAATTTATTTTAATGTATTGATCTTGTATTCTGCAATCTTGATGATCTTGCTTTATAGGTGCCAAAGGGAAGCCGATGCTGGCAGCTGGGGGAAGAAGAACCTACTCCTGCACCAATTCTGTGCATTGGGCCTTTAGTATTATATAAAAGTGCTCTTGGGGGAAAGCATTGAGTTTTTCCCCATCATGCTAACTGTTCCCAGGTGCTCTTTATCAGGAGAAGAAAATTCTCTTCTGCTCCTAGATTTCTGGGTGTTTTTCATCATGAAAGTGTGCTGAAATTTGACAAATGCTTTTTTTCTGTATATATGAGATAATTATATGGTTTTTGTTCTAAATTCTATCGATATTACATTACAATAATTGATTTTATAATTACAATAATTGATTTTAATAACCGATATTACATTACAATGTTAAACCAGCCTTGCATTCCTAAATAAATATCACGTTTTCATGGTTGCATACTTTTTTTTCTTAAATGTGCTGAATTTGATTTATTGTATCTTATTGATGATTTTTGTGACTATATTCCTTTCATTGGGGTGTCTTTATCTGATTTTTTTTTTTAATGCTCTTAATTCAGCTTGTAGCGTGCAGGGCTCCTGAGGGTGGGGTAGGCTGTATTGCTTAGTACGTTTTTCTTTTTTCTTTTTTTGTTTTTTTTCTTTTCCTGTCCTGTGGCTCCTGGGATCAGTTAGATCCTCTCAGGAAAAATGGCCTTTTAGGTTTGGGGGCCTATGGCCAAATGGAGGAGCACTGGCTTTTGAAGGAGGGAGCTGGGTCCCTAGTCAAACTGCATATTTCTGAAAACAGAAAAGAAGCAGCTCTCTCAATCCTGGAAAAATTAGACAGGTCTCATTCTCTGACTAGGAGTACCATATTTAGCAAATAAAATAAAAAAAAGATGGCAGTTAAATTTGAATACTTTCTGATGGCTTATGCATATGCACATTTGGGATATAATAAAAACATTACATGAGCATATTTAAATTAAAAATTATTCATTGTTTATCTCAAATATATAAATTATATGACACTTTTTAACTTCTATTTCCTTTATATTCTAACTCTCTTTAATAGTTATTTCTTTTGTAGATTTGCTGATAAAATTCCTTGCAATTATAGTTTATGTTCAATTGACATGGTGACATACCTTCTATAGTGGTCCCATACAATTTACTTTATTCTTTTGTTCATTTAACACTCATTAATAAGAAATTCATCTCATGAGTCAGCCACTGAACAGTTTCAGTCATAAACCTGGAGTAAGTTCTTCTAATTACATGTGTTGAAGTATATAATGTCATCTTTTATGGCATAAATTCTTTTTCCTTTCTTCAGGAGTACATAGTACCACTTAATCAATGGTTTTAAAATATTTTCATGAATAAAAGTAGTAGTATTGTTAATTTTTATTCTCTTAGTCTTCAATACTATGTATTGTGAGTCCATTTGTTCTCATGCTGGAAGGATATTTAGTAACATCTATGTAAAATAGTTAAATTCTTTAAGAGATAAAAATCCATTTGAAAAGATAGTACGACAAATGCTGTAATAATTATTCTCTTCAAACAAGAATTTCTTTTCCTGTTTATAAACAATGTCCTGCATAATAAGACAAACCTTGACATTTAAATGGATAAATTTTTCATCAATTCTTTCTTGAGCTCATTCAAAATCTTGCATAAACAATAGAAATATATATTTTTTTGCATTGTGATTATTTGCAATCATGGCTATGTCATAAAATGTTCTGACAGACTGACTTTCAGAACGATGGCAGCTGGAGAGAAGCACATGGTGACTGGCAGCTGTTGAGAAGTGTGGCCACGTCTCTGATTGGCTAACTTTGCAAACTAGTTATTAGAATGGGGCTGTGGCTGGTTGGTAGATTTCAGAGCATGCGTACTGCTCAGAAATTATCTTAACAGTGTTTACTATTTGTTCATGTTTCCAGTCTTTGGTCTTTTTCTTTCTTGATTATAAAAAACAAGTACTTGCAATCCTCAGCCTTTCCCCTCTACCCACAAGCCCCATTTTCGTCTTCCCTTAGCCAAACATGTAGGGGAGACTAGAGGGAATTGTCCAGATATTTATTTGTAGAGGTATGTTTGAATCAGAACATAGCTAGGGTGACTAAGTGATTTAAAGGCCAAAATCTGTGGCAGAAAAGTATCTCTAATTATTGAATTCTCATAACTTACTGGGGGGAAAAATCAGGATATTTAGGGCATATGGACAGTCAGTATAGGTTGCAGGACAAATCATGAGCAGGGCATGTTCTGTATGCACAGAGGCCATTGGCTCTCTCTCTGATGACAGATAGCAGGAACGTGCTGTCCTGCCCGCACCTTCCACCCTAGCCCTGCTCTCCAAGGCCAGCACACACCGCGCTTGCCCTCCTGCTCTCCCCTGGCCCGGCCGGGAGGGCCTGACCACGGGTCTGAGGGAAAATCCTCCTCTATCTTGAAAGCACCTATGACTCAGGGTGAGCATGGCATTTAAATTTCATCCCTCAGTGTGGAAGCCTTTCTCAAGTGTGTGCTGAAGAATATGAACTGATGTGTTCTCCTGTGCCAAGCACACTCTTTTCTTTCCTTAACAAGGATTTTAGCTGCTCTATTTCATTTCAAATACTTCACATTAAACAATACATTTAATTTCTTTCTTCTATTTGCTTCTCAATTCCTTTTCTTGAATTTGATGATTTATTGATTAATTTTTCATTTATTAGGTTGAGGCCATTTTTGCTACAGTAAACAAAATATATATTATGAACTAGAACATATTTCTAGTTTGAATCCTTTTAGAATTACCTTCTTTTGTGTTATTCTTTTTTGTGATTATTCCTATTTTGAATACTCTTTTAATAAACACTTGTTGACAACGTTTTTTTAAGACAAAGTGAGGTGCATTCTTTCTTTAAAAAAATTGTGTTATTACCCCCTCTATTACCAACTAGCTGTGTCCTGCTACCCTTCTCTGCGGTTCTGATTCAGCATTCTCAGTGGAGTGAGGAATGAATTGGGACTAGACGCAGGCCCTGTAGGGGATCATTACCTTGGTGCAGTTTATTCTGTATGTTTATTGAAGTTGCTGCTAAGGGTCCAATTTTCTATGCACAGATTTCATTTTGTCCTGCCTCCATTCCAGACACATTGTATGTTCCTGGCACTATTTCTCTTTCTTATCATAGAGAATCTTTTCTCTACTCTCTTTATTTCAAAGAACAAGGTACATTTCAACCTGGTGTCTGCGGTGCAGGTGCCAGAGTCATTTGGGGCATGTTCACAGCCATCAGCTGTACTTATCAGTGTTCTTGAGTCTCAGCAATATAAGGATACGAGAGGCCTGATGCATGAAATTCATGCAAGAGCAGGCCTTCCTTCCCCTGGCTGCGGACACCAGCTTTCCTCTGGTACCCGGGACCCAAGCTTCCCTTGCAGAGGCAGGTTCTACCCACACGCCACAGCTTGCCAGCCTGGGCCTCCCTCTGCAGGGTGATCATGGGATGATGGCCAGGCCCCTGACCAATCTCATTGCACCTACCTTGGCTGGCCTGGCCCCATAGGGTGTCATAGTGTGGTCCTGGATGGTTGCCTGGATGGTTATCCAGAAGGTCATTCTGCTGTTCAGCTATCAGGTCTAATTAGCATATTACATAGATTATTATAGATGCCAGGGAAGTGACTCAGTTTTCTGCGGTCTTCTACATCACAAATTATATTTCTTCCACATTTGATGGTGTCTATTTATTCTTTGTGTCATATTATTTTATTTTTTCCCAAAGTGAGGTTTTTTGCTGTATTTATGTTCCATTTGTCTTTTATCTGGGAAAACTATCTCAAAATTTCTCACATGTGAATGAGATCTTTCACTCAATTTTGAGCTGTTGACTATTTCATTATTTTTCTATTCTTTTAAATATTTTAGTCATGAGCAAAGAGATTTCACAATCCATGTTCTCAGAGCTATAAAACCCAAGAGATTCTATTGGCATTTCATATTACTAAAGACCTAACTATGTTATTTGAAGAAGATATAGGCTGTCATAAACTTAGTAATTTTTCCTTTATGTTAATTTGGTATTTCCTATTTATTTTCTCTCAGTATTCGCCTTAAAATATTTAAAAAGCAAATGCCTTAAGTTTTTTCAAAAATTGCTGTAAAACTCCCCCAGCCCCTTCCCCATGTAGTCAGGCTTAGAGAGAGATGAGGGTAGCACATTGGGAGATCTGCAGTGGAAGGAATCAGTGAAACCTGGCCGCGGCGAGGGAAAGAGCCTGGGCTGCATCTAGATGTGCCCTCGGTGTGATTGTGGATGTGTCTGTGATCACGATTTACATGAAGGACTGGAAAACGTTTTATGTGAAGGGGCAGAGAGTAAATCTGTTAGATTTTGCAGGCCATACAGTGCCCGTCACTATGCAACTACTGCCTTTTCATGAAAACAGCCATAAGACAATGTGGAAACAATTGGGTGTGGCTGTGTCCAAAGGAAGTGTAATTACAAACAGGGATGGTGAGCAGATTTGGCCCATGGAACATAGGTTGCTGAGCCCTGATTTCTATTATAATCTTTAAATTATGACTAGTAATTACTAAAAAAATAATGTTTTAATATTAATAAGCTTTAGAAAGCAAAGATTTAATTCATTACTTTTGGATTGGTTAAATTGGTACAGTGAGAGCAGGGATTACACATACATGTTACATCACATATCTATAATAATAAAAGCATAATATACTAATTAGACCAGATGTCCTCCCAGAGGACCTTCTGGATGGAGCCAGGGCTGCAAGGGAAGCCCAGGCCCTGGGTGCCAGCAGCCGGGGGAAGGAAGGCCTACTCTTGCACAAATTCCTGCACCAGGCCTCTAGTATATATATATATATGTGTGTGTATTCTGATATTTGTGGATCCTTTTGATACTTTAAGATACACACACACGTGGACATTATTTCTGTCCCCATCTCCCTCTCCCTGTACTTTAAGTATTACTGAAATCTGTCTTCTCCTCTCCTTCAGTTTTCTCTGTGATATCCCACCTCAGTCTCTCTAAACCTCACTATACATCTGGCTGCAGGAATGTTCTTACATTATTGCCATATAGATGGAGAGAAACTTTCTTTCAATTTTCAAAATCCTTGGGCTATCTTTTAGGCCTTCAGCTCACTATAACCAAATGCATGCATGAAATGCCATTCATTCTACTTCTCTGAATAAAATGCCAATTTTTGTGCTTTTGAGGCTTAGGAAATGGTAGACTACGCACTGTCAGATAGTTCTCACCCTGTGGTCTACCCCTTCCAGCTTTTGTGACATGCAGATCTCGCTCCATGGGCCACTTTATTTTTTAATATTTTTTAATCACATAGCTTTCCCCAGCCAACTTTGATAGCAGAATAACTCTACATACTTCTTGACTGGTCTACTCCTTTGAGGAGGCATATTTGCTGTCTTTACCATCCTAGTAGTCTGGCCCCTCCCACCAGTGCTGTAGGCACAAAGGCTGGGTTCCGGGCTTTTAGGTGGTGCCCTGGCAGCAAGCTCTTGGTTGACCACGCCACATAGCAAATGCTCCTCTCTCCCCGAGTTACCTAAAGTTACATGGAAACTGTCTCTCCAGGATGAACCCCAATGTTTCCAGTTAGGTCTTTAGTGCAAAAGACACCCCAGAGGCATTTGCTTAGAGTCTGTATAGACAAAGTCGTTGGCGTAGAAGAGTAAAGTCAACGCAGGAGATTTCCACCGGCAAATCTGAGAGGTCTGGTTCCCTGAAATTGTCTCTGGGGACCTCGATATAATTACTCTTGGAGACCGTTATTATTTCTAAATTCAGACATGGATCAAGCTTTGGGGAAGTCATGTCACACTCAGCACCAGATGTTTGACTGGCTGGGCATGTCTCCTGGCTGATCCTGAAAGGTGTGTGCATGCCCTTCCACAGGCATAGGGTGTCTCCATACAGAGCATTCTCTTCACTCCAGGGAGTACTCTGCCTGCCCAGGAATCCCTTCTCAGCCTCTGTGAGGCTCTCCGCTCACGACTCACTCACCCGTGCTGAGATCTGGATCTACCTGGATCCGATCTCAGCACCTGATCCCATTTGCAGTACAGGTAAGACCCAGCAGTAATATTTTAGTGTGTTTCTTTGGGAGACATACTATTTCCTATTAGGCTCTGCAGGGTCCAAAACCTGAATCAGTTCAGTCTCCCCTCTGACTGAACTCCCTGTATCCAGGTCCTCAGCTGAGGTTGCTCCTGAAGGGTCTGGGAAGTGGCTCTGAGCATTTTGTGGGTCCCAGAATCCCCTAGAGATCTGGCTACCAACACATGTAGGTAAAGTCAGTTCTGGATGAGTGAGTGGCCTGGGACTTTGCATTCTGATGGTCCTTCAACTGATTTTGATGGCAGTGGTCCAGAGAGCATACATTTAGAAATGCTGGGCTGTGGAATAGGCTGATTCAAGAGCCCCAAATAGTGAAAGAGGTACTTGCAGTGATGCAAAGGCAGGCACAGGTGGAGGTATCTCTGGATCTTTACTGACTGGGAAAATCTCCTCATCATCCTCTGGGCATCTTTAAAACAGACAGTGTTGAGAAAAGATCCAAATAGCTCTTTGTTTCCCCATTCTAAGGCGTGAAAGAAGAGTCACACCCCCTCCAATGGGTCAGGGTGACTTTTCTGGGTGCATTAGTCCTGCACAGGGAAGGATTAAGGGATCTAGGGATGAGTTAAACTTGCTCCCCCTTCAGAGTGTAATGGTTCTTGAGGTGGATGGGACTTCAGAGGGTAGAAGTGGGTCGCTGTGGAACTCAGAAGATCAGGAGCACAGGCTGGGCAGAGCTCCATGGAGCATGGAGAAGTTTGTGTTAGGAACCATAGCATATTCCTTTCCTTAGGTGGAGCCGAATAGTTTTTCTTATTACTGATCACCCAGCTTGTTTAGCCTATGCCATTGACCAGCCCGTCTTTCTGTATATGGGTCATGGATCTGGTGGCCCAGAATAAGGTGTAGGAACCATGGTCTCAGAGAGTATCTGAAGATGACCTAGAATGCCTCCAATAATAGGCAAACAGGCACTTTGATCCAGGTCTGGGCCAGAACTGGCATGCTGATTTATGTCCTGATTGCTGGGTAAACTGCAGCAGGATGGAGGAAAGGGAGGAGCTAAACTATGGAACCAGAACCCCTTCACAGGAGTCAGGTGAGCAAAGGGGGAACAGACCTAGTAAGATGCGCGTGGAGGAAGTCTTCTTGGCGGGTGAAGCCTATTATCAGTTATTTGAAAGCAGCTCCTGTTGTGTATTAGGAAGTTTTCATTCAAGTGAATAGAATGTCCTGAGGAAAAACCAAGACAGAGATCTGACTTGAATAACAGCCAGGGAACTGGCATCCAGGAAGCTGTCAGCATGGACAGCATGGACAGCTGGGATCTGGCCAAGGTTTCATGTGTGTACAGTAGGGCATGCTATCGGCACAGTTGGCCAGGCCAGGCCAGGGGGAATAGTGCAGAAGAGTAGGAGGCTGAGTCCTGGCCTTCGGCAGATTTGACTCTGTAGTCTGGGCAGGAGGAGTGAAAGGGGTGGGTGCAAACCTGAGTATGAGACAGAGTACTGGCTCCAGTCACGCCATTCTGGTTTGTAATCAGATCAGTATTTTTTTAATACACATTGACAGTGAACTTTCTCCGCACTTCCTATTTTAACGGTTCCTGTCTTCTGCTCGTTGATAGCGTCGTCTGCCCTAGGGTATTCCTTGGAATCTACCCTTCTTGTCCTGTTAATCATCTGAAAGTTCATAGCTGTTGAGAACAAAATCTTCATTGATATACAGCCTCATCTAACTAAAAATTGCTTGTTATCTTTTACCAGCTGCTGCTCTTCCTTCATTCAGTACCGACTGGTGGGAGTTTACCTTTTCATTCACTGTTTTTAGGTGGCAGCCCATTAAATGGAGTCAATTTAGAGTTCACCTTTTCTTTCCTTTGCTTCACTAATACAAAGGAAGTATTATTTATATGCCAACGGGGATACCTGAGATTTGAAATCCTGATCTCCTGAGCTGAGAGCTAAAGCATTAAAGCCAGGAGTAAATTTTCCAGGCATGTTGCAGGTCTTTTAGGGCAGTTTTTTTCCCCCCTGAGAGACTTGAAGGTTATCTTTTGAGGAGCTGACTGAAGGAAATCATGTTTGGATGATGGTAAACTCTTTATTTCTCCCACTGGAACTCAATAGTACAAATTGCAATTATTTTGGGTGAAGTTAAACCTGTTTTTGACAAGGGCTTATTCATCAAGTGTGTAGGTTAGAAGAGAGGTAAGATGTGTGAGTAAATGCCTACAGATATATGGCCCATTATTTTATTAAATTCAATAATGATGCTGAATATCGGCTCTATGTGAGAATTTACCTAGTGTGAGAAATTCAAATATTAATATAAGAAAATGTATCTTCTTGGGGTCCCCTTAGTGATATTTTGTTTGAAACGATTGGGACTATTTCCCCAATTGGTTGTTAGAAAGCTGACTGTGCAACTCATAAATTTAAATCAAGAGTTTTATGCAGCCATTATGGAAAATAGTATGGAGTTTCCTAAAAAATCTAAATATGGAATTTCCATTTGACCCAGTGATTCCACTTCTAGGAAGATATCCTAGGAAACCCTAAATACCAATCAGACAGAATATATGCATCCTTATGTCCATAGCAGCACAATTTACAATAGCTAAGACCTGGGAACAGTCCAAGTGCCCATCAATAGATGAATGGATAAGAATGCTGTGGTACATTTAAATTATGGAATACTATGCAGCAGAAAAAAAGAAGGATCTATTACCCTTTGAGACAGCATGGAGGGATCTGGAGAGCATTATGCTAAGTGAAATAAGCCAGTCAGAGAATGATAAGTATCACATGATTTCATTCATATGTGGAATCTAATAAACAAAATAAACTGATAAAAAAATAGATCCAGAGACATAGATGCATAGGAAAAGACTGACAAATTTTTAGAGGGGAGGTGAGGGTGGATGGGGAGAGATTAACTGGGGAATTTATGTGCATAGCCCATGGACCCAAACAATAGTTTAGTTAAAGCCTGAGAGGGGCGAGTGTGGATGGATGGAGTTATTGGGAAAAAAGGGGGGACATCTGTAATACTTCCAACAATAATGATAAATTAAAATATAATTATTAGCCTCTACATCGCCTATTTGTCTTCTCTTAATTTCATAATGAAGATATATGTGGCCAGAAGAGTCATCTTAATCGGATTTTTATTACTGGACTGCCTTCCATTTCTTACAGAATACTAATGAGAAATGTTAGAAAAGAGATAGATGCTACAATTTTATCCTCTAAGACTGTTTATTCAGAGCTAGTGACTATATACATCAGTGTGTACCAGATAATACCAAATTATGCCCATTTTCTCAATTAATTGTTAAGTGTTTCCTTTCATTCACAAATATAACCTGGTTTGGATACTAGATCATATGAAGTTGCTTCTTATAACAAATTCAGTTTGGGATAGTTTTACTGAGTTGATCATTTTCTTATAAGAATTTTCCTAAAGTGGCTATGAACCTCAGCATACATCAACATTCTTACTTTTAGCCACCTGTTCCTTTATAGTTGGAATCAACAATCTGGGAATCTTATTTTGCTTGTCTTCCTGTCCTTGCAATACCGGTAGTATACCAATGGTTACCAGATTTCCATCTTGTAATACCTGTGTACAACCATAAGCCGAAGCTAAACATTGTATGTTTTATTTTGGAAGCACCAACTTCTGATCTAAATTTCTGTATTATTAAGGATAGATGTGTCTAACAAATAGGCATAAATATACAGTACATTAAAGTTCTATTATTGCTATGGCTCCTAAAGACCAACCTTCCTACTGATCTGAAAAAAATACTTTTTTTTTTTAATCAACCACCCGAATGCAGTTGAAAATGAACAAAAGCAAAAAGTTTCTGGGAAGGCTACACACTTGGAAAGAAAATCTTCATAGGGTAATTTCCACATTTTTATAACCTTCAGCCTGAAAGTTGTCCACAGTTGGTGCCACATGGGATAGCTGAAACCCCGAGAGTCTTTCTAGAGGACAGAAATACAACAACAGCAGCTAGAAGAGGGGGAGAGGGTGCTTGTGAGTTAATATCAGATGTTCTTCATACACGTAAGTTTGGTTCAGGAAATAAGGAAAGGAAAGAATGGGGTCAGAAACTAATATTTGAAAAAATAATGACCAACTGAAAACAGCAAGCATTTCTCCTCGCTCTTGGGAACTTGAACTATTTAGCGCTGAGCAGTAAAAGCAGAAACACTCTCACTGCAGACAGCATGGCCCAGAGCACCTATCTATAGCTGTCTCATTCCATAGAACCTTTTGCTTACCAGGCTGCCTGATACCTAACATACCATAGGAAGCAAAGTTTTCTGTGAAAATCAATTACTTATGGGCTGGCACTCAAAAATGGTTCTTTATGAAAATGCATAAGCAAAGTCTTAGCAATTCCTAAATCGACCTGGAGTGATTTGATATAATCAATAAGGAGATGCACAGGAGAATTCAAATGAGGGCTTTGCCTTTCATTCAGAGGGTGAAGAGCACGGGGCTCCCAAAGAGTTTGTAAAACCATTCATTCCAGGGGAGAGAGAGTTCTAGATCTTTTTTTCCCTAAAAAAACCCACCTCCCTATCTTTCTTCCTTAGTAACACCATCACTAGCACATTAATTTAAAAACATTATCAACATCACAGGAAGTCACCTTGAGTAAAAGATAAGTGAGACTTATTATATATATATATATATTATAGATGTCATTACTACTATTTAAGACATGTGGATGCAATTTATTTTCTAATTTACATAAGGCTCTTTTTTTTCTTTTTATGAATGGAATAAAATTATAAAGGTAAACATTTTCATATGTTCAAGTTCCATTTTCCCCTCTGCACTCCCTTTATTTTTAAGTTCTTAAGCTCCCCTCTCATTTATGGAAACTCGACATGTCAGAAACCTCACCCTAAGGGTTGAGCAGTGATGGTGACATTCTTGTACGTCATTTGGAAGTATAATGCCTCTTCACAATAAGACCAGGGGAAGTAGAAGGGAAGAGATAGACTTGACTATGTCGATTTGTTTGAACAAAGCTTCTAGCATTTGCTGCTCAAAATATGCTTTGCAGATGGGCAGTCGCAGCAGCAGCATCACCTGGGACCTCGCTCAAAAAGCAAAATCCCTGGCCACACTCCAGACCTATGAACCAGAGCATCTGATGGCTATTCCAGGCATTGAGAAGCAGGTTCTGTGAACTGCCTCCAAAGGTAAGGTCTAGCAGGAGATAGAACAGGTGATGATTGAGAAGGGGAGATGGCAGGAAAGACCCTTGTCAAGCATTTCTATCCTTAGAAAGACTTGTAAGTTAAAGAGTCTTTAGTGTTTTAAAAAATTGGATGAACTGAATCAAAATAGTCTGGTAGTAAGCAATCTAACGTTGTCTTGATCTTAGCATCGTTGGTGCTTTCTATTAATGAAGTCTTCTCATGTCCAAGTGGTTCACTCACATAAAATCTTTTTCAAAGAAAAATCCAAACAACCCTGGCTGGTGTGGCTCAGTTGGTCAGGCATTGCCCAGGTACTGAACGGTTCCTGGTCCCATTCCTGGTGAGGGCACATGCCCAGGCTGCAGGCTGGATCCCCTGTAGGGGGCGGGGCGTCCAGGATGCTGCTAATGGATGTTTCCCTTTCACACTCTGCCTTCCTCATTCTCTAAAAATCAATTTAAAATAACTTGCCTGGCTGGTGTGGCTCGGTATTTGAGCATCAACTATGAACCAGGAGGTCAAGTTTGATTCCCAGTCAGGGCACATGCCTCAGTTGTGGGCACAATGCCCAGTGTAGGGGGCAGGCAAGAGGCAACCCATTCTATCATTGATGTTTCTATCTTTTTCTCCATCTCCCTTCCTTTCTCTGAAATAAAGAAAAAATATATTTTAAAAGTGCTTAAGAAGAAGGAAATCTGGCAATGAAGAGCCAGCATAGCCTTTAAAACATTTTTAATCTTAAAAAATAAATAAAAGAAGAAATCAAACGAACTCCAACATATATACATACACACGCACACACACAGATAGCGCTGATTAAAAGGAATCTAGTCATGGCCCTCATCAGTTAGGTCATTTAGTAGCAGCATTGTTCTGTAAACCAAGAGGTTGCAGGTTTGATTCCCTGTCAGGCACATACCAAGCTGCAGGTTCAATTCCAGTCAGGATGTGTACAAAAGGCAACCTATCAATGTTTCCCTCTTCTCTTTCTCCCTCCCTCCCTGTCTCCTTCCCTCTCTTCCCTCCTTCCCTGTCTTTCTTTCTCTCCCTCTCTCTCTCCCCTTTTCCCCTTGTCTAAAAATCAATAAAAGTATTCTTGTGTGAGGATTTAAAAAATGGATCTAGTCACTGATTTCAGATACAAAAGTACTTCTAATGCATAATTAGGTCAATAGTCATAACCTAGCCTTCCAAAATGTGATGCTAAACTTGTATTTCAAACAAGCAATGCCCTGCTTTGATTCTTGCACTTCCTTTCACTAACTCTTGGCCAACACATGCCCCCTTTTAATTAGACTATCTTTAATGGAGGCAGTAACTGGATGCCAATGCCAGGGTAGGTTACTAATGCCACTTCTGCTGTTAAAAGCCAGAGAAACAGCCGAGAGAGTGCACCAAAGGCAACAAGACACAGGGAACAGTAAGAGCATGGGGGAGGAGGAGGTGCTGCTAATGAATGATAATGAAACGAAAGAGGCCAAAGTCTATTACAAGCTCTGAAGTTAATAACCATCTTATCTTTCATTTAATGAGGGTAGAGAGAGTCTTCAGAGCAAAGGTAAGACTGTGGTGTTAGCAGCAAAATGATACAGGCGGCAGAGAGATGGAGGGCTTCATTGTAATAGTGTAAATGACGAGGGAACAGAAGGCAACAATTATGTTGAAGACTTTTCTTATTCTATTGTAGGCTTTTCCACCAGAAGATATTTTACCAAGTGTTTCATCTGTGACAGTGAACGCTTGCTGCCTGCTGCTTGAGTACTTGCCATGGTGTTTTGGAGTACAATTTGTTTTCACAAAGTTCATTAAATTGTCTTTTGCAATGTTCCTGTCCATGCGTGTTGCCATATTTACATGTTACAAACAAGAAAACGGAGGTACAAATATTAGGGAGAAAATGTTTTTAAAACGAATTATTCCTTATAAAAATATCCTGAGCAAATGTGGTATTTCCTGGTTAATTACTAAAATCTAGTTATGTCTAATCTATTATTTTCAATACAATATGGAGTCCTTTAATTGCAAAAACATGCCCATCATCCACTACAATATAAACCCAACTACGTTCTATGCATAGTAGGCTCTCACTAAGTGTTTGAAATTTATGTACTATCCAACGATTATTTTAATTATGAAAATATTACTTCAGCATTTGTCACAATAAGAATTCTCTCACTGAATACTAAATCTTTGAATTCCAAAATTAGCCCTAGCGATTATAAAAAATTTCTTATAAAGTAAATTTATAGACTGATTATTATTTAACTATATTAATTTGGAGTTTTTCTATATGGGCTAGTTGATTTAGGATATGAGATAGCAAACAAAATATTATAAAAAGCAAATCTTTTCACTAATATTTTCTCATGGTTTCATGACTGATGCCTAATATAGTGAGACAAAGTTTCTTCAAATGTCTTAGAATGTATAATAGGTGTGTATGTGTGAGGATTTTAAATAACACCCAAGATTGTT